GAAAGTTGATACAGACATGTAGCAATTTGTGTCTGTAAAAACAGTTGCTCCATGAGACTAAAACTTTCTCTGTGTGCATCTGGTGTGATCCAATTTTATCAAATATATGCCTTTTACTGGCTTGCTGATTACTAGTGATTTGAAATGAACATTTCATATCTTGAGATATGCAAACTTTTCTGATTTTCATTTCTGTAATGTAAATTAAAAATACTAAAGTACAGTAAGGGGACGCTATTTTAATTTCTATATGAGTTATTAAAATTTTAATGTCATCAGTGTTAATTTATATGCATTGGTATTTATATACAGAAAGCAAAATTGTTTAACTTACGTGTATTTGGAGAATTGGTTTTTAGTGGATGTTAGTCTTCCCCACCTCCTTCATCTCCCACGCCCTGTCTCATACAGAGTTAGCAAGAGCTATTTCACCAGATATTTAGTAGCAATTGGAACGTTAACTGGTGTTACTATGTAAAGTGTCTTTATTCTATAAAAAGTGTGTTGCAGTTCCATTTACTTCACTTTATAGTAACTGCCAGCATGGGATATTCTCTGTACCCATAATCTTTTTAACAAATTATTTTTTCTGCATAGTACTATCGTATTGCTAATACCTGTGTAGTCAATTTAGTTCTGTCAGTTCTGTTTGGAATTCAGCTTGGAATTGTTTTAATCTTAAATCTACAGGTAAGCAATCTGGAAAGTTGTTTTAGAAAGTTCTTTTTAAAAAGTTACCCCAAACTATGTATTAAATAAACTTAACTTTTTTTCTTTTAAATATGTGGAATATAAATGTGAAGAGACCTTGTTTTTAATATATATTTTATATAGATATACAAAATAATTTTATATATACACATTTTATGATTTTTATGTAAATATATAATGTATATTTTTAATATAACCCTTTAATCTGAGTAATTCAGGGTATAGGAGTTTATCCTACTACTAGTTAGTACATTTGTGTAGTTTTAATTGTTTATTTGACAGTTTGTTAATATTATGCAGATACTCATCCAGATTAAAGTGGTTTCTGCTTTCATTGATGCTACTGATAAGTGAGACCTCAGAGAGATGTAATTATGAATTGAAATGAAGATACTAGACTGATATATGTTTTACTGATAAGATTTCAGTAATTAGGCTTCAGGAGTAATTAATTATTCAAAAAGAAGCCTCTGTGTTTCTCTTTTCTCAGTTATATTTATAGTGTGAACCTCTGAGTACATTGTAATATTGTAAGTTTCCCAGGGCAGGGGAGCAGTTCCCATTTATTAATAAGACTGGTCCTCTTTTGTTATGTCTTTATTCGTAGATTCACATTTTGTTTGGTTTTCTTTTTATTTTCTAATTGAAAAGAGATTATGTAAATTTCAGATATTTATTTATTCTGCACAAAGAAAGGAGAAATATGAAAATCACTGAATAGACTTTCACCGGTTTTGCTCTGACTTTGGTAATGCTTGTGTTTGGGAAAGACATTATGAAGTAGGTGGAAGTGTAATGGCAACTTAAACCAAAGAATAATTTGAAAATTATGGGTGTGTCCTCAATTTTTATAGTCTCTGTGATAGGAAAGACTTTGGAATCTATATTTTTATCTTATTTTATTGTGTCTAACTTTTCTCATATACTTTGAAACATTCACTTCTCATTGAAGCCTGTTCAAGTATAAGTTGAAAAAGATTTTTCCCCTTTAATCGAATCTACATTTTATTCTGTTGTGGATAGTGTTCACCTTCCTTTGTGGGTCCGAATTTTTAAATAAGATTGAAAATTCTAATGAAGTCATATTAGTTGGTACATAGTTTTAATATTTGTAAATGGAAATGTTTTTCTGGTATATTTTAGATTATGTGTATATTATTAGACAAAGGGGACTTGAAAAGTTATGTATTGTGTTCTTTACAATTATGAAACATTTTATTTATGAAAATTCATGAAGGTCTCAGTAATAATATTTAGGTGACTTTTATTGTGGACTATTGATAGAAGTTCCTAGATGGATGATCAGAAGAATTATCCTTTTCCATTAGGAGTCTTTAATTCCTACTTTTCCCCCTTTTGTCTCAGATATTATATATTTTTTTCTTTTCTTTCTTTCTTTTTTTTTTTTTCTTTTCCTGTCTAGGACCTCCCTGTAACCTAGACCTAGTACTCAGGTGCAGTGCTATTTTAGGGCAAAGTCTGGCACTGTTGCACTCTTTGAGAAAAAAGGAGAGTACGTCTTTACATCATTGCATTTCTTTCCTAAGATGGAAGACTCGACAGTAGCTGGAAATAAATTTCCTGGTATAATTGCTGTGTAGTTGAATCTTGAGTAGTTCCTAATATCACCTGTAAAAGCAATTTTGTCTCTGAGAAGCAACTTTTTTAGTGGCTAGAATACAAGGTGGTGGGGGACAGGGGGGTGTGTAAGCTTAGATCATTAGTCCTCACTTGATTGTCTTTGGCATAGCAATCCAAATCCTTTGAAATCTTCAAAGCTTTTCTTAGTGATCTAGGATTGGAGAGACCGTCTTTTCCAGGAGCAGTAGGTCAGGGGAGGAGAGTAGTGCTGATCCAAGCAACAGGTGACAGAGCAGGAAAAGAAACAGTAGAGTTAATACCTGGAGCCCCCAGAGCAACAGGAAAGGAAGTGATAGATGACCAGTGTTTCAAGTACAATAAATAGCTTGTTGTCCCATCTGTGCAACCTACTACCATTGATTTGGGGGGGGCGGAGAATGGGTTGGAAGTGGAGCCACAGTGAGGGTAGGAATGATGGAGGCAGACCTAACCCATTTCCGTTGATAGTGGAGGGAAAAATGTAAGGTTAGGGTTAGTCTCCGTGAGGTAGCGTGGTGGTATGGTGACCCTGTTTTCCAGGTTCTAGACGACTAGTTAATAAGGAAAATTTTGAACCCATTTAATTTTAAGTTTATTAAGACACGTTTTTTAAATTGAATTAATAATTGAGGACTATAATGTATATCTGTATATTGATATTTTTAGTACCACATAATGAATCTTTAAAATGTGTTTTTTTCTTTTTAACTTTCCCTGTATATTTTGTGACACATTTACTTCTTATTGAATCCTGCTCAGATATAAATTGTAAAAAAAGGTGTTTTTCTCAGTTAATCAAAGCTGTACCTTTTCTAGAAGATTTTTCTCAGCTCCACTTCTGTTAGTTTTCAGTTCTTTATGTTCAGTAAATCAAATGTACATATGTAATCTTACCAGCTTTTCCTCTATAAGTTCACATTTTGTGCTGAGAATGAGTTCAGGAGAAATTAAATCAAAGATTATCTTACGCTAAGACCAGTATGCTACTGTTGATGTGTAGTTTCTTATTTGAAGAACAGTTGTTACATAAGTGATTTTATGTTGCAGCAAATTCTTGTTCATTTCTGTCACACTTTACACCAAGTTTTAAAATTGTAATTACTTTAAAGTTATTCTCTAACTTTTTTGAATCACTAAAAATTAAGTGCTAAGAATGATAACATTTTATATTAAAAAATAAGAAGAGTATTTTCCAACTTAAAACTACAATATTGTATCACTTTTTATTTTCTTCTTCTTGGTTCACTATCTTTTTTTTTCATTCGTCAAAAGTTGTCATTATTCTTTGGATCCGTTTTAAAATATGACTTGAAGTACCTAATTGAATCAAACGTTGTTTATAATTTTGATTTGGTACTACAGGTACCATGATTTAATTTACTTTCAAGTGATATGTCTACCTTGAAACCACATTAAAGTGTTGTGATCTTTTTGTTTTTAATCCTGGTGGCTGGCTGGTATGGGGCTCTGAACCCTTGACCTTGGTGTTATCAGCACCGCACATTTGTGATCTTTATAGAGACCAGTTCTATACCAAACAGAACTTTTACTTTTTTAGCTGCCATGGTTTGTTCTAGTAACCTTTGGTAACTAATAAGATTTCAGCTGATTTTAGGTTGTACATATAGTTTAGTTTTTTTCCTTGCCCTTATTAGGCAGTTCTTACCCACTTCCCACAGTAATATACTCTCTAGGTTATATCTTGGTCTAGAATTTAATTTTGTTTTCCAGTGTATATCATACCACCACTGTCTCTGATACTTTTATTTCTAGTTGAATCACCCAATTATATAATTAGATTAATTTTCTATTATCATTTTAACTTTTGAATGTTTTATTTACTTTTTAAAAATATTTGCCTTTCTTTTCTTGTAATGGTAAAATAGTCTATTCATTACTTTTTTTTATGTCAGTGTAGCATAGATTATAGAAACATCTTGGCTTTTTCTAGTTCTGCATCCTGTCCTGTTTTGAAAGAAGGTTGTTTTATCAACATTGAGGGTTTTTTTCTGGTTTTTGTTTTGTTTTGTCTTGTCTTACTGGAAAATAAATATCCTTGATCATGTTGTTTTTCTTTGACCTCTGCAAGACAAGGAAAATTTTTAAACAGCAGTCAGTTTTCTCCCAAGCTGATTTTTAGAACATAACTGTTGTTGTCACTTAAACTGTATAAAACCTAATTTCTACTGTATAAAATTTTCACCTGATTTTTTTATTTTCCCATCTTCTTTGACATAGCTCTCTTTTTCAGTCAATCAGTTGATGGTTAACAACTTTTTCTTAAAGGATGGAGTTACTAAATTTTAAAACAATTTTTATAAGTAACTTATAAACTAAATGTTTTGTATTGTATTTTCTGAGGTTGAATGTACAGTGCTATGAAAACTTTACTGTGTGAGTAGAATCATGTTTGTTCACTCTGCAGAAGAGTGACAGTTCTAGCCAACAGATTTTGAAGTTGTTAACAAATTTACTAATAAGGCACATTTTAGTAGATAACTTATTTCTGTTTACCTATGACCCCTCTTATGCCTCTTTCTCCCAAGGAAAATCCCCTGTAATATTACGGTGTTACCTATAGTTTTATCTACTTGTGAGTTATGGGCTCAGTTATTTAAAACTGAAGAATTTTACAATTTTGCCTCTCTCTTTTTTGGTTAAAGTAGTACAAAATGTCAAAAATTAGAAGAAAGGTCACAGTGGAAAATACCAAGACCATATCTGATAGCACATCTCGAAGACCCAGTGTATTTGAGAGGCTTGGACCCAGCACTGGCAGTACAGCAGAGGTGAGTTGGCACTAGTACAGTTACAGGGATTCTCTTAGAATCCCATCATTGAAATACTGATTTGTAGCATAAAGATGAATGGGTTGTTTTATGTAGGAATGTTAGCTTAGTAAATTATTTTTAAATGTGTTTTGTAAAAAGAAGTGAAAAAGATGATGGGGTTAATGGGGCTTGGTTTTTTTTTTTTCCTCATGTTTTTATTATTTGGGGAGTAATATATTGCAGGTTAGCTGGAATTTTGATAGCATTTGTTTTAATTTTATCCCAATAGCATCTTTTTTCCAGAAATATATATGAAACTTACGTAGTGATATCTGCCTCTTAGACACAGTGCCGTAACTGGCTGAAGACTGGCAACTGCCTCTATGGAAACACATGTAGATTCGTACATGGCCCTTCACCTCGTGGTAAAGGTTATAGCAGCAATTATAGAAGGTAAACTGAAAACTTTGAATTGTTCGCGTACTATTAGAAGATGGCTTTTATAATTTATCTAGTATAAAACTCTGAAATACACCCATATATTTGGTCAGATTTTCTGTTTTGGTCATAGTCATACCAGTAGTCAAAGACGAACAAGATCTTTTTAGTTGTTATTTTCAAGAGTAATTGGCTTACTCCCCAATGCATATTACAAAAAGATCTACTGTCAAAAACAAGAAAATATTGAGCAAATAAAGTTAATTATGTATTAAATGATGTATTAAGTTGGTGCTTAGGACAGCAAAATTCCACAGTGTCTGAATTTATTTTTAGTGAGGACAGACTATTTTTAATTCTTAAAATATTAAAATTTAAATAGGGTATAATTTTAGCTTTTTAAGATATACTAAATTCAAAGCTTATGCACGCTCTGTAGGTTGAAGTACATTTGCCAAATCCCTTATCACAATATGTTAATGTAAATGAAAATATGTATTTATATGTGAATAAATGTACTCCCTATTTAGAACATTTTACTTTTAATAAAAGGATTAGCCAAATTAAACTTCCTTAATAAAGACCTTTTTGTTTTGGTTCCTTCATGATGATTTTGCTATGGTGTTTAAAGATGTAACATACATAAAGATTGTCACGAAATAGTTTAAATTTGATTGGTAAACAAATAATTTACCTAGTCCCAAAGTTGGGAATGCTGGTCGCTTTGGCTATAGCAACAGCATAAAAACTGAACATTAATAATTGGAGGTTTTTTTTTTAATTGGGTGAATTTGTGTGTGGGGGTCATTATGGGGGATGGATAGCTTTTGAAGTTAAGGAGAATTTAAAATTTAAACCCTTAACATTAGCTAACTTCCTGTTCACTTAAACAGTATGTTGTACTTTACTTGTGATGCTAAATACTCTGTTTTATTTGTGTCTAGATTGTCTTTGTCACTTCTGTTAATGTGGGAAAATTAGTCTCTATTATATGTTTTATTACCTGTATCTGTACACATAAAACACTTTTTTGGAAAAACTATTTCAGTAATCTAAGTTTTTGTTTATATTAATACGACACTTTTAATACATGCTTTAATTTATCTTTGAAATTTATTATTAGCTAGCTGAAAATTTTTATATAAGAAGTAGTTTTGAAGAAAATGGGCAGAGAAAATTTGTCTGAAATGGCAAAAATTAATATCATTATTTGATTTAGAATAAAGGATTTTTCGTTTTAATTTTGCTATTTTGTATGTGTTTTTCCATCTGAACTTCTTTAGTAATTGTATTTTTCTTTTTTATGGTAGGGAAGAAAAATATAGTTCATAATATGATTCAAAGATGGGAAGACAAACAATATATTTTAGAAAATGCTTATCTATATACAAGATATTTAAGTCATTCATTAAGCATTCACTGTGTATGGAGCATTCACTCTGTTAGGTGCTGTTTAGATTAGAAACAAGTTCATAATATACAGTTTTACTACATAAAGGAAACCAGGACACATAGGATTTACATGTACATCATAATTATAATTTAGAACGTTTAAGTACTGGTTCTTAGTAAGAATTTCCAGTGTCAAGTTCAGCTTTAACTTAAAACATTTAACACAGATCTATTAAATGTATGTGTCAATATTAATGAGATCCTTTAAAATGAACTCAAATGATTTCTTCACTAACCATGTGATTTGTATTAATGATTGATAAGTTGGAGGAGTTGATTTGATCGATCAAAGATTACTTGAAATAGATGTGAATATTTATGTGATTTGCTCATATCTTTTCTTTTCGCAGTGACCAGTTGGCATTCATTAGTGTAGTTATAGCTTATCACTGCAGTAAAAGTAGTAGAGGAACCAAGACTCTTTGTTATCACAAATAAATAAATAAAGTTTATTTTTAGGAAAATTCTAACCGAGTAACTGAAATCTAGCAGTAGCACTAGAGGAACCCAGCCTTGTTTGACAGATGAAGCTGGGGGAGAAGTCAGATAAATTCTACCTAAAAGGAACTTCCACTTCCCCAGCTCCTGGCCAGAACTGATCATGGCTGCAGGTACAGAATAAAAGGAAACTTAATAAAAAAGGATCTAAAACACTGAGAAAATGTGGACTTTGATCTGTCAGGGCATTAGCTGACCATGATCAGATAATCTGTTCCTCTCACCCCAAAGAGGTTTAGACAGCAGCTTCCCCAGACCACTTCCGAGTAATGTGGTTCAGGTAGGCATGGTTTGAGATATTCAAGTCAATCTTGTACTTGGCTAGGATTTTGAGGATGGGCCTCAGCTTCAGCCACCACTGTGTTCCTTGGTGATTCAGTGCTCACAATCTGTCTGGTCCTTCAGCTCAGTCACTGATTGAAAGACCAGGGTCCTCTTATGCATCCCCAGAACATAGTCTGAGTCTGGTGTATTGGCAATGATTGGCCCATTATGTTAACTCTCTTTGATTTTCCCAGACATCCAGTTCATAGCCTTGGCGCCCATCTTAGTGGCAAAATTCCTGTCAAATGGAGTTGGGCTCCCACCCTGCTGCATGTGGCCAAGCACATTCTTCCTACTATCGAAGATGCCCTCCTCCTCAGAGTACAAGTTGAAAATGAAGTCAGTGGTATATTTCTCATTGCACTTCTCATTCCTTAACACCAAGCCTCTTTTCACAGTTGTTTTCATCTTTTGCACCAGATGTTCAAAATCCATGTACAGGTCCCGAATAGTGAAGGGCTCCTCAAAAATGTAGGCGGCATCAGCCCCAGCTGCCAGTTCTGCCATTGTGGCCAGGTAGCCACAGTAGCCACCTATAATCTCAATGATGAACATCTGATGCTTGGTTCCTGCAAATGACTGCTTGATGTAGTCACAGGTCATGCAGATAGCATTGAGTGCTGAGTGATCCCCAGTGCTGAAGTCTGAGCCATGCACATTGTTGGAGACCATAGTGGGAGTGACCACAAATGGGATGCAGAGCTCATCAAACAGTTTCCTGCCCTCCATCAGTTCCAGGCCCCCTATGTAAGCCTCAAACCCCCCAATGATGTCAAGGCCCTGAATGTTCCACTTGGTTATGTTGGCAGTGATCTGTTTGAAGTTCTTCTTGGGTAGAGTCCTTTAAGTCCCAAGTTTAGAACCACCTTGGCCAGTCCAGCCCTCAACATAGCTCCAGCTAGCTTCCTCAGACTGACCCTTGGCTAGGCCTTCGAAGCCATCATACACAACCAGCACTCAGTTGTCCCAGATAAGGTTGATCCTCATAGTGGAGTGAACAGCGGCATTCATGCCTGCTTCCGGGGCCCACACGTTCATCATGGCTACTGTGTGCAAATGGCTCTTAGATACTGGGTGTCTGGCGTGAGCCAAAAGTTTGTATACCACCCAGTTGTTCATGAAGCTCTGTCCTCTCAGCTTCATTACTTCATCAAATTTCCTCTCATCTTTCATCATGGCTACTGTGTGCAAATGGCTCTTAGATACTGGGTGTCTGGCGTGAGCCAAAAGCTTGTATACCACCCAGTTGTTCATGAAGCTCTGTCCTCTCAGCTTCATTACTTCATCAAATTTCCTCTCATCTGTGGCCTTGGTCACTTCTTTGGTTACCTGGACACACTCCATGAGGGGCAAGCACACGGCCTGGTTACCACAGAGACTCACCACACAGGCTGGGATATCTGGGGTTCCCTCCAAAAGCACCATCACTGCTTCCACACCCATCCTACTGCCCAGGATTTGGTCAAAGGCTGACAATGTCGCACCCTGCTGCATGTGTCCCAAGACAGTGACCTGGATGTCATATGCTGGATGCCTCACCACAAGGTTCTTGATGTCCTTGGAGGTGATTGGTTTTCCATTCTTGTCAGTTACACCTCAGCTACAATGATGAGATGAGAACCATGGGTCCTTTTCTCACCGAGCCAGTGACAAAGGTGTTCCAGTCATCTGGGGGACATTCAGGAATAAAAACCCAGTTGGCCCTACAGGAGAGAGAGGTGACAAGGGCCAGGTATCCGTAGTGGTGGCCCATCACTTCTAATACAGACATCCTCTGGTGGCTCTGGGCAGTGGTGGTGATGGCATCTATAATCTCTGTGATCTGGTGCAGGGCTGAGTCAGTGCCAATGGTCATATCAGTGCCACAGAAGTCATTGTTGAGCCAATCAGGCCCATGATGTTCAGGTAGCTGGACTTTGTAGCCTCCTCAGCTGTGATCTTACCTGCTTTGTGGAGGTCACTCAACAAGTCACTCCACTTAGAACAGAAGGTATCAGCCCCAGTGAGGCTACCATCACCCCCAATGACACACAGATTGGTAATCCCATGCTTCACCAGGGTGTAGGCAGCTTGGAGTCATCCTTCTTGGTCCCAAAAGTCCTTGCACCGGGCACTTCCAATCACTGTGCCTCCCAGCTGAAGCATCATCGAAACACTCTTCCAGGTGGCTTCCCTGATGTGATCTCCACCATCCATCAGGCCTTGCTAACCCTCATGGACAAAGAAGACACAGGCACTGGTAAAGATCCAACTGGAACGACAGCCCTGACAGCGGCATTCATACTTTGGGTATCTCCAACAGGGGTTAACACAGCAATGGCTTTGCCAATCCCCAGGGTTTTGGCTACGTGGTGCTCTTCGTGGGTCATGATTCTGGTAAAGATCCAACTGGAACGACAGCCCTGACAGCGGCATTCATACTTTGGGTATCTCCACCAGGGGTTAACACAGCAATGGCTTTGCCAATCCCCAGGGTTTTGGCTACGTGGTGCTCTTCGTGGGTCATGATTCATGCTTTTAGTCTCAGTTCTCTGCCACCACTGCCTTCCTGCAGATTGTCCTTGGGAAAGAGGGCTCTTTTGTTTTTATATACAGTATTTTTGGTGATCACAGAGGGACAGAGCATTCCTTAACTTCATTGCCCTCTTTTAAAGGTCTTCTAGGAATATTCTTTAAAGGCTGTGTATTTAATTGCATAGTCATATACTATCAAATTTCTAGTATAAATTATGAAGCCTTACCATTGTTGTGTATAAATTTGTATTTTTCCTTCAGTTAAAAAAATCCACCACAGAACATAAAATGACCACTCTAACATTTTGCTTTGAATCCTTTAATTATTTTTATTCTGAGATAACTTAAAATTTAAGAAAAGTTACAAAATAGCACAAAACTCCTGTTTGCTTTTATTCTGGGGTATAAAATATTTTTTCAGTTGTTAATTTTGCATCCATCCACATCCATGTGTAGGTGATAGTGCTGTTGCCTCTAGGTTAATTTTGCAACTTTGCAGTTTAAAACTTTATCTTACTACCTTTTGCTTCCAAATATATGTAATATATTTATGTGGTTAATAGGAAAACAAGTCAACCTGTTCATTACGTATTCCTTTTTCTCAGTTCACATATAATTTCTTATTCATATCACCAGTACCTGTCGTCCCATGGAATTTTAACATATGCATTTTGATTGGTATTTGGAGAAAACTTGTAAGTGTTGCTCTTTTTTTTTTCGTATTTATATTTAAGCTGAAACAAAGTAATTATTTTTCAGAAATTTAGGAGCCAAGGACAGTTAGAAAAATTATATTATATTGAGATCTATAAGCTTATTTCTGTAAATATATTCTTATAAAATGTTACGTAAATGTAGATATTTTTTGTTTGTTTTGTTTTTGTGTTTTGGTTCAAAGGTCACCAGAAAGACCTACAGGGGATCTTAGAGAAAGAATGAAGAACAAGCGCCAAGATGTGGACACTGAGCCCCAGAAACGAAGTACAGAGGAGTCATCCTCACCTGTTAGGGTAGGAATGGATTTCCCAAAACAAAGTTAAATTTCAATAGTGATTTATTAAGTCCCATTTTAAATATTATCTTGTATGCTAAGTATATGGTAGATGTGTAATATGGCATTATAATGTTTTATATGGATAATGTAATTTAGAGGGAAAAAAGTCTTGTGGGAAAACTGTGATTGTTTCAGTTCTTCATGGTAGTTAAAATTAAAGCAATTGCTTGGCAGACCTCAAGTTGAACTTCATGGGATTTTCCTAACTTGATGGGGATCATGAGTACTAAATATATTCTTAAGTTTTCATAATTTTGCAAGCCATTATATTTTGCTTCCAAGAAAGATTGAAGTGGTTTACAGTAGAGCACTTATAAATTAAAACAATGAAAATAAAGCATGAGGTAACAAAAACTGAACTAGAAAATTTAGGTAAAGGAAAGCATATATGACCACAAAGTTTAGCTGTGAATTTGTTGGTAACAAAGCCAAAAGAGAAATACAATTAATAATGTAGTTCATTGAATGAAAGAAAATATAGGTGTTTGTCAGGAATGGAAATCTTTCCCAGAGCTAATTTTTTTTTCAGGAAATCTGTTATACTTGGGTATGTGTGTGCACGCATGTGTGTGTAACAGATTTATTGAGGTATAATCCACGTACATGCAATTCATCCATTTAGAATGTATGTCAGTGCTTTTAGTATATTCACAGAGTCATGCAATGTTCACCCCAGTCAATTTTAGAGTATTTTCATCACTCCAGAAAGAAACCCTATACCCTTTAGCAGTCAACCCCTGGTTTCCCCACTGGCCACCAGCCCTAGGCAACCACTAAATTCTTCTTTCTCTCTATAAATTTGCCTATTCTGGACATTTCACATAAATGAAATTATACAATATGTGATCTTTTGTGACTAGCTTCTTTCATTTAGCATAGTATTTTCAAGGTTCGTGAAAGATTGGGATGCATCAGTATTTTATTCCTTGTTTTTGCCAAATAATATTACATCATATTGGTATACCACATTTTGTTTATCCATTCATCAGTTGATGGATATTTGGGCAGTTTCCACTTAATGCTGCTGTAAACATTTGCATACAAGTTTTTATGTGTGTATTTATTTTTATTTCTTTTGGGTTTATACTAAGGAGTGGAATTGGCAAGTCATACAATAACTCTGTTTAACCTTTTTAAGAACTACTAGACTGTCTTACATGGCTGCACCATTTTACATTCTTGACAGCAGTGTATGAGTGTTCCAATTTCTCTGTATCCTTACCAACACTTATCATCATGTAACTTTTTGATTGTAGCCATCCTGGTGGGTGTGAAGTGATAATCTAATTGTGGTTTTGATTTGCATTTCCCTGATAGCTAATGATGTTAAGGATCTTTTCATGTGCATATTGGCTATTTGTGCCTCTTCTTTGGAGATCCTTTACTCATTTTTTAAATTGGATTGTTCTTTTTATTATTTAGTTTTAAGAGTTCTTTATATTTTGAATACAAATCCCTTACCATGTAAACAACTTACAAATACTTTCTCCCATTCTGTGGGTTGTCTTCATATTCCTGATTATGGCCTTTAAAGCGCAAAAGGTTTTAATTTGATTAAATCAAACTTTTATTTTTGTCGTTGTTGCTTGTGCTTTTGGTGTCATCTAAGAATCTACTGTTTAATTTATAGTTACAAAGATATACGTCTGTGTTTTCTTCAAAGAACTTTATAGTTTTAGCTCTAATAATCAAAGTCTTTTATACATTTTGAGCTAATTTTTATTTATGGTGTGAGGAAAGGGTCCAGTCTCATTCTTTTGCATGTGAATATCCAGTTATCCCATATTATAGTGTTTTTATAAAAGTTATTGAGTTGTATAAGCAGCAGCCTCTTTAATAATTTAAGATACGTAGAAGCTTTCTGTGGCTATGTTTGACCCATGATAAAAAAAAGCTCTGACAGTTTTACACTATAATTTTTAAAGACTTATTTTTGGTACCTGAAATAATGCAGTTTTAAGTATATAGATTTCTAATGTCTCATTTGATATAGTAATACAGTTTTGGAAATCTTCAATAGTAGTTCTCAGCTGGAAGTATTTACCATACAAAATTCCTTTTGAGGGAAGATCTTTTTCAAAATACACATGCTGGGCTGGCTGGTTGGCTCAGTTGGTTAGAACACAGTGTTGTAACACCACGGTCAGGGGTTTGAATCCCTGTACTGGCCAACCACAAAAAAAAGAAAGAAAGAAAGAAAGAAAGAAAATACACATGCCAATATTCCACCCTTAATGTACTAAATCGGAATTTCTGGATAGGTGCTAAGCATGCGTATTGCATTTTGAAATGAGCTAACCTATTGGTTCAGGATAATGAATGGACTCTCGTCTGCTGGCAAATATTTAAAAGCCACTCTGAAAAAAAGAAAGTAATGGTTTGTAGGATTTGCCAATTTATTAAGTGTAAATACTCCCACGATGGCCAATTTCAAGCTACCAAAGAGATATCACTGAATGCACAGTTGGGAAGACCTGCTAAGTGTCACACTGTCATATAGAATATGTAGTATTCCCACTATATGTAATACATATAGTATTAGAAATACTATCTATAGTTCTCAAAAAGTTCATGGAAAATACATATTATGAAAAAGCTATGCATAGATAGCAAAATTTTTTTGCAGCAGAGTAAACTTGTACTATCTTGCTATAACATTTCTGAACAGGAAATAGTTTGAGGCATTAAGAAGGATAAGACACTAGTTTGAGAAGGGCGCCTATCAAAACAACATGAATTTGGCTAAAATTGAAGCAAGAATAGACATTAAATTTATGGTTAAGCTTAGGTGGGAGAATCGTTGGGTGGGAGAATCATTAATGCTTTACAAAAAGGTTTATGGGGACAATGCCCCAAAGAAGTTTACAAATGATTAATTTGTTTTAAGAAGGGAGTAGATGATGAAGCTTGCAGTGGCAGACCCTCCACATCAATTTGTGAGGAAAAAATTAATCTTGTTTGTATCCTAATTATAGAGGATCTTTGATTAACATCTCGCTCAGTGGGTGCCAAAACTGTTGTTCCCAGATCAGCTGGAGACAAGAGCATAGCTTTCAAATTTTAAACAAGTAGAATCAAGATCCCAAAGCATTTCTTTGAAGCATTGTAACAGGAGATGAAACATATCTTTACCAGTACTATCCCTAAGACAAAATA